GGGCTAGCATATATATATATATATGTGTGTGTGTGTGTGTGTGTAAGGAACATTCGAAATTAAAGGGGTGCCATGAACACACACACACATACGTACATATACATATATAAATATATGTAAACACGTACATGCATACACACACACACACACACGCTCAGACTTCTACATTAAGCGCTGGAGGCCTGCGGCAGGAAGCATCTCGATATCCTTGCGCCTGCAACGCTTTTGCGTGCGATGGTGGACATCGACAAGACGAATGTGGCCATTGTTCGGCTGAGTAAAGCCGTTATGGCGACGCGGCTGTAGTTGTGGCTGCAGGGTTTGAGTCGTATCTCGATCTGGGAGGAAGGGGTTTGGCACGTGAGCCTTGGATTTCGGGTTCGGAATGTTTAACTGAAGACCAACACGGAAACGCGACAAGAGGTCCTGTGAAATCTAGTGACTCATAACAACACTTGCACGTGCAAGAATGCGACTCATGCGCCCATACGCCAACTAGCCACACCAATACAGGCAGACATATCTGTACTCATCTTCCACCAGGACGGTCGACTGCTTCTTGCGGCCTTAATGGAGCCACAAGGACACCGACAACATAAGTGTAAATGTGTCATAGCACAACCCATTTAATCCTAAACCCGAAATCCAAGCCAAAGGGCCTAGAATTTAAGCATGGCCAAAAAAGACCAGTCATGCTAGGCTTGTAGCAGCTCAAGAGGAATGATAGGAAGACTGGCGATGCTGGTGCCGGCAACAAACAACATTCAAGCCAAAAGCCAAAACACTAACAACGAAATAGCACGACTTGTAATCGATCACACTGCCAAGCACGTTGTACTGACACTGCTGCTGCTGCTGCTGCTGCTGCTGCTGCTGCTGCCGCCTGCTTCTGCCGATAGCTACTGCTACTGCTATCTACCATCTTTGTCGAGTGCTGACACGTACGCATAAGACTGTGTACAGCCGCGGGGATGTAAACGACAAGAATGTCTGGGATGTTCTGTAAGGTCGCGGAAACTACTTTTCAAGAGTTTATGAACGGGTACCTCAATCCATAAACGCTTCAACCCTCATACAACAATGATAGAAACCGTTCTCGAATGTATCCTACACGACCTATAGGCTTTACGTTTAATAAGCCGTATAAGAAATTCCACCAGAAGTCATCCCTTCATTCCCAACTTTGAACCCTTCAATCCTAGCAGGGATTCTTCAACTCACCCTTGAAGAAACCCTGACAGGAACCCTCCAAGGAACCCAAATCCCTACACCCTTTTTTAGACGCCCTTAAAGGAACCCTCTCTAGGAACCCATACTTACAGTAACCCTTCAAGGACCCCTTCTGGGAACGAAGCCCCGACTCCCAACCCTAAACACACCCCGAAGGGTGAGTGAGCCCTGAGGGAGGGCTTCAAGGAATCCTTACCCTAAACCCTAAACCCTACTGTAGGGGCCTTAATAATTAACATAGGCTTTTGGACTCCTTTATAGTTTGTTTATAACAAGGAACCCTAACGCTACTATGGGTATTTACGCTTCTATATTAGAACTTAATGAGACCCTAAACCCTAAACCCTTTAAGGCCCAGGTCATCTCAGGTCTCGGCCGGTAGCTGTGATGTGGGACAAAGCCGGCGTCTGTCTCTGCAGCCTGGAGCTCTCCCAAGGCTTTGGCTTAGGGTTTAGGTTTTCCAGCACCCCCCAATTGCCCTTTAATAGAGCCGTCATGGTCCTTAATAGTGGGTATTTAAGGCATGTTAGAGGGTAGTTGCGGGGTCTAGGTTGGGTCTAAGGTTTAAGGTTTAGGGTTTCTTTGGGGTTTGCGGTTTACGTACGGGTTTAGCATACTCTCATCACTCGGCCGGGCGAGGTCTACCATGTGCACGTCGAAGTGAAACAGAAGCTTCCCGCTACTCGCACTATGCAAGAACTACACAAGCTACAGGTACTAAGCACCGAACGGTTTAGGGTCTTGGGCTCGGCGGAATAGAGATTTATGCAAGGGTTTCGGGTTTACCATGTTTTAATTAAAGTTTGAGGATGTAATAAGGCACATCCCTTGATAAATAATCTTCTTCCTTTGAGTAACTACGTGAAGGTTAGGACTATCAACATCCCTTTTTGGCGATTTCAAGCCTTTCTTTAACTGGGGTCCACATCAATCCGGAGCCTCAAAACCCCAAACCCTAAACCCTGCTGTTTTTTTGACACTCACACTTGGGAAACACAAGAGTTGGGGGGTCAGGATTCGGGGCTTGAGTTCTCAAGGCTGGCGGGACTTACAGTCTCTAAAGCTTCCGAACTTTTTTCAGGACTTTGGGGTTTAGGGTCGTAAAATCTTGGTCACTGTTTGTTAAGCTTTAGACATTCGAGGAAGGAAGGCCCATGGCAACCAGAGTAGATTTAAAGACGAGGCATGACACAAAGAAAAATGAATAGGACTATTCGCTCTGCGATTAAGATAAAGATTGCACTCGGCACTGCAGCATGTGTGCTTACACGCCTACCGTGATGACTACTGTTCCTCCGCTTACTTGTTTCTGCTTCTATTGTCCATGTTCGATACGTGCACATTACGACTAGGACGACGACGAAGAGTACGACAACAACAACAACAACAACAACAACAACTACTACTACTACTACTACTACTACTACTACTTACCACCAACCAATCATCCCACACACACACACATAGGTTCGATTGGCCTTGGCGCTGTTGCCGCACTGAGATCGGTCTGGATCTGCAGCCTCGCGACCCAAAGGGAGCCCCGGCTCAAGATTCAGGGCTTTAGGGCTTAGGGCTTAGGGTTTTAAGGGTTTCGGGATTTAGGTTTTGGCTGACGGTGGAGCGTTTAGAAATAAGCTCTTGGGTTTGAAGGTGTTGGCTTTGCGGCTTTGGGGTTTCAGAGTTGACTGATAAACATGTCCCCGGAAGCACGGATGGCTTCATTCTATCGCAAATCTGGGCCTTGCGCAACCTACCGTTCTCATCGATGGCCTCTGCTTGTAGAGTTCAGGTCAGAGATCAGAGATCAGAAATAAATGAGGCAGGTTAGGCAAGGTCCAATTCTGCAGCACTCCTTGTCGTAAGTAACACGGTTCTGGGGCAAGCCTGTTGCATGGGGTGTTCGATTGGCGGAGGAAGCCGAATCCTAAACCCAAGTATCCCCAGCTAGCTTGCACAGCCCTCATTCAAAGCTTCGGGCTCCGAAGATCAGGGCTGCCAATCTCTTACACACCCAGCCCGTTCGGGCATTTGGATTCAGAAACCCCTAATCTAACTGTAATCTAAACGGTCTTAACTTTCCGGAACTTTTCGCATTGCTGGGATCTGTTCAGCACAGAACCTCTAACCCAAAGTAGCTCAGACCCTTTTTAAGCACGGACTTGCAGTGTAAGCTCAGACCCTAAACTTTATACCTATATCCTAAAACCGAGAACCGAGTTTTCACGCACTCCTCAACTCCAGGACCGTGCCTTCTCGTGGTCGGGGGCATCCTCCTCCTTGCGCTTAGAGAGCCGCAAGATACCTGGTAGAAATTGAAAATGGCTTTGAAATCCATGTAGATCCCTGGATAACACCACCGGCTTGTTCACAACTCGTAGGGACCTTCGATGATCTTCCTTGATAAAGTAAGTGGAGTTATACATCGGTGGCTATGTTCAGCTCTGATGTCACATGGACACGTGCACAAGCGGATAAGAGGCCCAAGCCAGCACAAGACACTCTGCAATAGATATGAGCCATGTGAAACAATTCGTGCCGGGTCAGCATCTCTGTCGCCCGGAAGATCTTTAAGAGTCAGTTCAGGGATGCCCATGAGTTGCATGAGCTGTAAGATTCAAAGCGATGACATGCTTGACAGGAATTCATGCTGCAAGCATCAAAAATGCTATCCAAGACAGGCGTCACTTTCTGTGCCCTTGCATCGTGAACACCGTGCTACTTATGTATGTAGTATAAGGTAGGTAGGTAAGTAGGTAGGTAGGTAGGTAGGTAGGTAGGTAGGTAGGTAGGCAGCTAGGTAGGTAGGTAGGTAGGTAGGTAGGTAGGTAGGTAGGTAGGTAGGTAGGTAGGTAGGTGGTCGGTAGGTAGGTAGGTAGGTAGGTAGGTAGGTAGGTAGGTAGGTGAGTAGGTAGGTAGGTAGGTAGGTAGGTAGGTAGGTAGGTAGGTAGGTAGGTAGGTAGGTAGGTAGGTAGGTTGGTAGGTAGGTAGGTGGGTGGGTGGGTCCTAGTAGCAATACCTCAATCTGTAAGCCA